GCCCAAGACACCGGCAACAGATCGTAGTTCTTAGCACTTGGGTGCCACGTGCAGCGGAGGCTCGGGCAATCCGGTGAGGTGAGCCCAGACCGGCATCAGGAATTGAAAGCATTCCTGCAAGAACTGTTGGATGACACAGGTCGTGGTCCAAAGTTTAACCCGCTTCGTTGGGGCTCGTAGGTGGATACCTCTGCTTGCTACTATGGACACTGTGATAGCAGAGGCCCAGGACATATCTTCGTGCTTCCCCCCACTGCATTCAGGCGTGCAGGCACTCGCATATTTTTTTCCGTGAATGGCTCACTTTGGGCTGCGAGTACATGTGCAGGCCCTCATTGACACATGTCTGGTACGCGTCCTCTACTATTGAATGCAGACGGTCGCGCTTCTAGACCATGAAGACCAACGCTGAGAGTCATTGTTTGCGTTACTGGTCTGGGTGTTTCGCTTCATTCGTGCACGGTTTCTTTCACACGGCCTGGCTCACTGAGACGTGCATTCAATTTCTCACTGACCCGCTCCTTCAGAAACGCGCAGATTCACTCGTTCACTCACTCATGACACCTTTTCATTCTCTCACTTTCTGGACACAGCAGTCCGTCAAGAGAATGGCCTTGCTAGGCATGAGATTCACGAAATATTTGGATTAAGTGAAGATCAGTAGTCTAAAATAGGGCAGCACGACGCTCGCGATCAGGGTAGTCAAGATGGTCAAGGGTGCCCCACCGACGATGACTCATACCAAACATCATTGGCTTAATCGCCATGAGAGTCAAGAAACAACTACCAGTTCACAAATTAGCATACCTATTTATTAACTATGCCCGGGTATGCCCCTCAAGGACTGCAGCCATGACTATGATGCCACAATTTGCCACAATATTCACTGTCAGCAAAATGGATGCAGCGACTTAGCCATCCCCCCGGCGCATTGCTCAGATTCGTCTTAGGAGTGCGAGGCACAACACAGCCGCCACGTTCCACATAGTTTCGGCAGAGAGCGGCCGCAGTAGCGAGGCAAAGCAGCTCTCCAAAGCAAGGGCTGCATGCACTGCAGGCACTGCATCTCTGCAGCTGTGGGCCCGAGCCCTTGCCGAGCCCTTGCCGAGCCGAGAGGGCGTCGCGGCGCCGCCGCCGCGGCCCGCCGCGGCCGCCGGCGGCGCGGCGATGGCGATGGCGATGGCGATGGCCCGGTCGGAGCCTCAGAGCCGTGGGACCTCACGGGGCCTCCGAGCAGCGCTGAGGTCTTTGCTTCTGCTGGCGCCAGGGCTCAGACGGAAAGCGATGTGTGCGGCGTGTCAGTGAAGGGAGATTCCCGCAGCTAGAGATTTTGGCGTCGAAGGGTGCTTGAGGTATGGGCTCAATAGACAACGGCTCTCTGAGGTGCTGTTCGGTCGCAGCGCGGCCTTCGAGGTGCCAACAAACCTTAACCGGGGCTCTGCCGTGGCGCCTGGCGCGCCTGGCCGTGTAAGTCAGCTCCGACCCGCGGAAGCCTCTTGGCAAGGCCGGCCGACCGACATGCCCGGCCCACGAAAGTGCCTTGGGGTGTGCCATCTCGGGGCAGGTGCGGCGACGGAGGCGGAAGACATCCCCTGGTCTCACGGCCTTCGGCCGCTGCTTCTCAGCCTCCTGCTGGGGCTCAGCGCCGGCCTTGCTGGCGCCAAGCCTGCTCTGGCAGCAGACCTGGAGTGCGGCACTGAAATTTCTGATTCCATACCAGTTTTCTCCTCCAGCCCACCCCACCTCGTGAGGAACGGCCAGGGCATCTTCTTGGCAAATTGCCTCGGCCCTAGGCCCTGCAGTGCCCTGCAGGCCCCCAAACGAGTCGCAGCACAGCACAGCGGCACAGCGGCACAGCACTGCAAATACAGGAGCACGTTTCTCAGGTGCGGCGTGTCATGCAGGTGGCAACAATGCCGTGCAGCCTGACAAGAAGCTGAAAAAGGAGGCTCTGGAAACGTTGCATACTCAGAGCTGATCTGCCTGGGAGGATGTTTTCTGACTGATGTTTAAGATTTATCCTTGGGATTTCTCCAAGGTACGGAATGTTTGATGTGGAGCGAATAAAGTATCAGGCGAGGAGCTTTGGCCACATCCGCCCTTGTGTCACAGACCATGTCATGCCATGTGCAGGTCACGAACGGCAAGAATGCCATGCCGGCCTTCGGTGAGCGTCTTGGCCCGGAAGACATCGAGGCACCAAGGGCACCGAGAACGCGAGTTGCCCACACGTGCAAATACAATTCTCAACGCAACACGCCTGCGAGGATGTCGCCAACTATGTTATTGATCAAGCGAACAAAGGCTGGTCATGAGAATCTTGCCGAATTGTTTAAATTATGAGAAGCGTCACATGCTGTGTGATCGAGATTGTGATTTCTGAACAACCAGGTTAAGTTCTATATCCGTACACCGTACACGGGCTTAGTGTGCGTAACCTGCACAGTGCGAACACATGGATCTACATGTGCACGCACACGTTTCTCGACCGAGATTGATTGATATCTAGGTAAGTAGGTGGATAGGCAGATAGTAGATTAGACACTTGTTTAAGGGGTCGTATTTTTTTTAGGTATTTGTTTTGTTTTTTCCCTGTATTTTTTTGGTTTTTCTCTGTTTCACGCAAACAG